CCTGTCCACCGTCAAAGTCACGTGCGAATCCACGAAATCTTTTCCGACGAAGAGGATGACGAGGCACAGGTTTGCCATGTAGCTACGACTTCCCGGATGGGAATTTACATTAACGTAAGTGTCTACGGTAGACCCCTTACGTTCCTCTTGGATACCGGCTCGTCAGTGTCCATCGTCGAAAAGGAAGTCTTTCAAAAGTATTTCAGAAATGACGCAAAGATTATTCCACCGCCGGTAACTCTCCTCAACTACTCCCGGCAACGTATTGAAGTCCTGGGAGCGTTCAACGCAACAGTCACGTTCAAGGAGCGTTCAGCCAGGATTATGTTTTATGTAGCGAATACCGGCACGTCGTTGTTGGGAATGGATGCCGTAAAAGCCCTGAATCTTCAGATTCAAGGATCAACAATGAGCTGTCTCTATACGGAAACTGAGGACTTAACAGAAGCCTCCGAACAGAGCTCTGAGAGTGCCGTACCTCTTGACCCATCATCTTCGGGTCACAGCTCGACAGGAGCTCCTGAACATCAAAACGAGCGGACGACACTGCCTACAACTGTACCTTCACGGGCCTCAGAGCGAGATGTGTCGTCGGACTCCATCAAAGCTGCGTGGATGTCCTGTCTTCAACCCCAGGAATCTGCAGCTACGTCCCATGGACTTCTGACGCAAGTTGATCCTCCAGGTCGTGAGAACATGGCGAGACTCCCACTAGCATTACCGGGCCTTCCAACGTCCTTGAAGGAATACAGCCACCTCTTCTCTCCCGAGCTGGGTCACGTGAAGGACTACACTCACAAGGTGAAGATCCGAAAATCAGTGCAGCCCGTGCAGCATAAAATGCGTCGCATTCCATTGATGGCGCGGAAGCCTGTGACTGAAGAAATCAAACGCCTTGAGGCAGCGGGAGTTATTGAGCGCATAAGTGCCTCAGAATGGGTGTCACCCATTGTTGTGGTCCAGAAGAAAGATGGATCAATTCGGATGTGTGTGGACCTTCGTGAAGCTAATAAGGCTGTCGTTATTGACAGTTACCCTCTTCCTCATGTTGAGGAGCTTCTTAATGCGCTGCACGGCGCGAGACGTTTCTCTAAATTGGACTTGGCGTCAGCTTACCATCAAGTCACACTACACCCTGACAGCCGAGACTTAACCGCGTTTATAACGCACGAAGGCTTATTCCGTTTCAAGAGAGTTTGTTTTGGTCTCGCTTCTGCTCCAGCTACCTTCCAGCAGATGATGGCAACGATTCTAGAAGGATGCGAAGTTTTCCCACAATCGTATCCACCGATGCGTCTGGATACGGGCTCGGTGCCGTGCTCCAGCAGCGCAATGGAAATGAAGTTCAGACCATCGCTTTCGCCTCTCGCACACTAACAGCAGCGGAGAGAAAGTATTCGGTGGGTGAAAGAGAAGCATTGGCATGCCTGTGGGCATGTGAGCGTTGGCACAACTACCTGTGGGGCCGCCGTTTCACCCTTCGGACGGACCATCAAGCCTTAATGACGCTGCTAGCAACACGGGGTACAGGCCATCGACCCCTCCGAATTACGAGATGGTCGACCCGTCTCCTCTGCTACAACTTTCAAGTCGAGTTTCAACGCGGAGCGGAAAATCAGGTCGCCGACGCGCTTTCGCGCCTCCCTCAGCCTGAGGATGAAGGCGGTACCAAATTTGACGAGGAAATAATTTCCTTCATTGCATTGCAGAACGAATGCATCACCAAGCTGCAACTACAAGAAGCTACGGCCAATGACTCGGTCTTGTCTGCTGCCATGACATACGTCACATCTGCGTGGCCTTCAAGACGGAACTTGTCTTCCGAACTCATCCCTTTCTATGACCTTAAAGATGACCTCGCCGTGGATGATGGCATTCTTTTAAGGGATGAGCGGTTCGTGATCCCTCAAGAGCTGCAGGGCATTCTCATCGCCAAGGCGCACGAGGGGCACACCGGGATCGTCAAAACCCGTACGAGGCTCCGAGAGCTCTACTGGTGGCCGAAAATGAACGCTCAAGTGGAGAACGTCATTCATGCTTGTGACATCTGCCAAGCGGCCGACAAAAGTGCAAAGACCTTTTCCACTCCGCTTCAACCAGTACCTTTCCCTGAGCGACCGTGGTCGAAGGTAGGAATTGACATCGTGGGCCCTTTTGAGCGTGCCGAACCATCATGCCGCTACGCCATAACCCTGGTTGATTATTTTTCGAAGTGGCCAGAAGTACAGTTTTGTGCAGATGTCACCACCTCAAGGGTAACAGAATTTTTGCATCTGGTATTCTCCAGAGAAGGTTTACCAGAGAGCCTAGTGGCCGACAACGGTCCCCAATTCATTTCTCTACAATTCAAAGACTTCTTAGGTTCTCGTGGAGTCAAACATCATCTGATTTCGGTCTACTACCCGCAAGCCAACGGGCAAATTGAGCGTTTTAATAGAACACTCAAGGGTTTCATCCAGTGTGCATCGAGGGAGAAACGGCAGATAAAATCTGCTGTAGTTGATTACCTGGGCATATACAGATGCACACCTCATACGACAACAGGGCTATCTCCTGCTCTGCTACTTCATGGTCGCAAACCCCGAACGCGATTGAACATTCTAGGACTCTCATCGTCAGAGTTTCTTCGTAACCCTTTCGAGGAAGTGCAGCGACTTCGTCGACGTGTTCGACAACAACAAGACAAGACCAAAGCCTACACCGACAGAAGGCGAGCAGCTAGAACACCGAAGTTCAAGGTCGGACAGCTGGTCCGAGTGAAGAAGCCCGGATCTGTTCCGAAAGGATCCTCTGCCTTTAGCAGTCCCTCCCGGATTGTCGAGCGTGTGGGCCGCTGGACATTTCGGCTGGAAGATGGCAGAATATGGAATGCCTCTAAGCTAGCGGCAGTTCCAGGACCGGCTTCCTCTGGTTTGGACCTCAGAAACCCGGTACCAACAGGGAAGTTTAGTCAAAGGTCAGCTGACCATCACCAGTGGCAACCACCGTCTGCACCATTGGGCTGGCGGAGCCAGCATGACCAGCAGACGCCACGGACATCAGCTGGTTCCCCAACGCCATACGGACAACTGACCAGGTCAGCTTCTCAGCCGTCATCGCCAACTGGGAACCGACCTCTATCGGTACCTCCACCAGGTCCAGCGGGAGATGTGCCGTGGCCAGATCGACCACGGCGGGAACGACGACCGCCTGTGCGGTTTGGGGACTATGTCTCAAGATGAATAACTTTTGGACTTTGTATATGAACATTTCTATTTCTCTTTGATTTATTTTCGATTTTCTCTGTGAATCTTTCTCTTATACTTCCTCTTTATTTTTACCCCTTTAATTACTTTCTTTAGGCTTTGTCTTTTAGTTACTTTCTTAAAATGGGAGGGGGGAAAATGTTGTATCTTCTAGCTAATTACTTTCCGGTCACTTCGTCTTCTTTTGTCCTTTTCCTTTCTACTTCATCTTCTTTACCAAAAAGATTAAAGATAGAGTCTCGTGGCAGCTGTGCTCAAGTGTGGTCGTTCCATTCCGGGTCTCCAGACACCACAGTTATGACGTCACAATCACATACCTCTAGCTGGAATTTCGAACAACCCACAACGCTCACGTGGCACGTGACGTCACGCGCGGAATTAATGTGATTAAAGCATAACATATAATGCGATTTTATTGCTACCGCAGATCTCGAATGATTTCACTTTAAGAAGTAATTCATTTAATTTACCTTAAAGAAAAATTTGAACCCACCACGGCTCGGTTCCGAGCGAGACACCCTATTGACTAGACTTCGTGAGCTACGCTTGCACCCCTAATGAGAAGGTGACGTGAACGGGGCCAGTTAAGACTATCGCGTTCCACTCTTAAGCGAAGCTTAACTGTCCTCCAAGAATTTGTTTTTACCAAATGGCGCTGCAAAAACAAGCGCCTGCCGCGTGCCGAGGTTGACGGTAAAATTACGCTGGCGGTTTTCACTTTGCACCGTAGATTTGGTGACGTTTCTACACGTCACCAGCGGAAGTTTCTTTTGCACGTGATTTCCTGAGCGTCTCAAGCATTGTGTTTCGGTTTCTTGACGGAAAAACTCGAAATGCTCTAGCACTGATTTGCTTACGAGAAGGACGAAACCTTTTAAAAACAGGTATGGGATCGTTGTATCTGCAACATAAAACTTGCCGTGGGTGTTGGCCACGAAACTGCACTAACTTGAAAGTTTTGTGACTAAACTAATGTTAAAGACTTTGCGAATTAGTTGTTTTGTTTTGTTTTGTTTTTTTGCAATATTTGTCGTCCGCTGTGGCTGGCAGTTTGTGCACGAAAAAATTAATTTTTAACTAAGTTTTAGCATTTAAGTTTGTCTAATTGGCATTCTCACTGTGCGTCATTACCAAGGCATCAGCTGTTCATGCGCACAAAGCAATAAAGAAATGAATGAAGGAGTAAATGTAAATGAATGAATGAAATCTAAGTGTCGTTAAAACTGTCCCTTCCTGCTCTAAGGTTTTAATAACAAAGGTACATTTGATGAGCTAATATATTTTTTGAAGAAATTAATGCAATGCGTAAAAACAGAGCAACGACAGACACGTAGAAATATCCCATTTCTTGTGATTTGCTCTTATTATTTTATTAAGTACGTCGAAATGCTCGTAAAAGTATTCATCTCATTTCATCGTCACTAGCTGACAGCAAACAAGCAAAAAAATCATTGTTTTTAATAGTCTAAAATAGCGTTTTCTCAATGAGTCTAACCAATGCATCAACATAATATTTTGTCGCACCAAGAGGCTGGGTTCATAGAGCGTATTGCTCAAGACTGCTACGTGAGTGAAATGTTAAACTGCAAAAGATACTATTTATGAAAACAAACATTAAAATTTAGACAAAAAAAGCGGATTATGTATATAGTAGTTTGTAAGTGATATGTTTGACCATAATTTGTTGTTTCTAGATAATGCTGTAAAAAATGTATGCAGGCATCTAAAATACGAATTTCTATTAACAACGTTTAGGCGGACCAGGATGAACTAAAATCAAGGTTAAGCCCATATAAAGAACCCTCTCTTCGGCCGGATGGAGTAATATCTACACTGGCTGATTATTTTAGCGACAAGGCCCATTCTGATATTATCTGCCTCGTAACAAAGTAAGCAAAAAAAAAAAAACGTTTTGATTATTTTTCTATTTTTCGCACACCGGAATTTATAGTCTTTATTTTTTTTAGAAAAAAACTCAACGACGAGTTTGTTGTGAAAGATGGATATGGTGAGTGCACCTTATGTTATTTTGTCTCAAAAAGAGATCGCTTGAAACCTTCCTTAAATAATGGAAACTGATCTTGGTTAATGGGGCGAAATATGTGGAAACTGCGCTTTAGGAGTTACAGAAAATCATTATTCCCAAAGTGCTTACATCTCTTTCATCGATGCTTATCTGGGAAGAATCTTCTTACTGCTCAAATACTAATAGCTAAAAATGCATCTTCCATCACCTTTGCAAAAATAGGAAATCAAGCTAGGTCCTTGATTAAAATGCATCGCATTCAAGATGGTATATGCAACAAAAGGCTTTGAAATAATCGCAGAACATCAAATACTCGTCTGTAAAATTATTAAATGATCGATACGCGGAGGTATTACTAACTTATTTCGTTTGACTATTGTAACATTCCAAAGAAAAGTCAAAACGTATCTATTGCCATCTTAATCCCCGACGTTCTTCTCTTTCTTTTAGGGCGCAGCTCTCAGGCGCCCGTTTCCGGCTTGAGTGGCGTCGGCGTCGCCGTCGGCGTAACCCAGGTCACGTGACCCCCCAGATCACGTGACCCCCCCAGGTCACGTTACCCCCCAAGTCACGTGACCCCCCCCCCCCCCCCCCCCGAGGTCACGTTACCTCAAGGAGTCACCTATCCCTCAGAACCCTTCCATCCACCTCCTCAACAGCTGCGCTCTAATTCGGCGTTACTGGGAGTTGGATGCGGCTTTCATGTTTTATCGCCCCCCCCCCCCCCCTCTAGAAATTTCGCGCTGCTTTGTCTTCCTTTTTTTGTCTTCTTCGCTTAACGCGGTTTGTGAATTCATTTCTCCTGGAATGATATTTAAAGATATTGGTAATCGTCGCTATTTCTACTGTGTTGTTCGGTCCAGTGTATCACACCGGTGTGAGAAGCCCTTGTTGCACTGTGGTTTTGGTAACTTTGTAAGGCACCTTGAACTGTGAAGCAGATTTTGGCAGGCCTTTCGAGACCAAGACAAAGTCACCCACCCGTAGCTTTCGATGCTCAGTATTGTGACGCTTATCGAAATGCCGTTTCATCTGGTACCGATAGTTTTCCTGCTGAGCATCGGTCTTTCTGCGTTCCTATGTATCTTTTCGCCCTTTCAATCCCAAGCAGGCTGTCAGCAGGCAGCAGCGGAGCTTTTCCCGAGATCACGAAGAAAGGACTGCATCCCAACCCTGCCGTGTAGGACGAATTATGATATGCTACACCAGCCTCAAGCGAACATTTCCAGCCACCTGGAAAGTTGGAGTACATGTTCATACATTGTTTGATGTCTCGGATGGCGCGCTCCGCCAGCCCATTTACCGAGGGACGGTAAGGTGCCGTGAACCACAGGGCTATCCCGCGGTCTTCTGCCCATCCTTTTAGTTTGCGGCTGCGAAAGGCTGGTCCATTGTCCGCAACGACAACCTTTACGATGTGATACACTTCTCTGTTCACCAAAGAGATCACGCTGTCAGCGTCTTCCCTGGCAGATTTTGCTGCCACCATTCGAGTGCACTCGTCGATACACAGTAGAAATTCTTGCGCGTCCTTCACACCTTCGCTCTTTGTTTTTTTATCTCTGCAAAGTCAAGGTGAAGCACTTCAAAAGGTGTCTTGGCGTGTTGAGGTCGCGTAATTTGATCTGTAGGTTGTCTGTATTTAACTTTGTACATTGGGCACTCGTGGCAGGACTTGATGCAGAGTCTTGTGTCATCTTTCCTGTAAGGCCACGTGAACCGTTTGGTCAGCTTCATATACGTCCGCCAGAACCCGTCATGACCACCTGACTCTAGGCTTGTGTGGTACAATTCTAGAATATGAAAAACCATTGTGAATGGAACATAAGACTTTCCTTTTGTGTCAAGTTCTAGCTGTTTTGTTTTTTCCCAGAGTTTTGACGAATTCACTATTTCGGGTGGACGTTACAGAGGACGTTAGCAGAAGTCGTGATATCGCGACGGCGTCTTTTAAGGAAGCACCTGGAGGATGACTTACTTCAATATAAAACTTCTGCAGCTCATTGATCCAGCGAGCTATTTTCCCTTTGGCTCAGTCATTTTGATTGGACTGGTGAATGCTTCATGATCAGTAAAGAGTTTGAATTTTGAACCTTCCAGGTAGGAACGAAAATATCTAACCGCCTTCAGCACCGCCAGGGCTTCTTTCTTTGTGGTGGCGTAGTTCACTTCAGTCTTCGTGAAAGTTGAACTGCGGTATCCCACGACATGTAGCTGTTGGGAAGCCGGTTTCTTAATGTCACGTTGGTAGAGCACTGCACCTGTTGCGTAGTGTGAAGCATCTGTATTGAACTCGAACGGTATGTTGAAATCTGGCAAGTGCAGCACAGGGTCGGATAAGAGGATGCTTGCTGACAAGGTCTTGATACACCTCTTCGCAGTCCTGGGTCCAGTCGAACTTGGTCAGGTAGCGGCCTTTCGTAGCATAGTCCAGGATGAACGAATTGAAAGGTGATACAAGGTCGAAAAACACGCGGAGTGAGTGCACGTCGTAGGGCTTGGTAAGCTCGGAAATACGGGCAACTGATTCTTGTTTCATAATTTTGTTGCTTCGTCCAGACCTCTGCCTAGAAATACAAGTTTGCTTTCGAAAATTTCACTTTTCTTAAAGTTGACCTTGAGGTTGGCCTCACAAAGTGCACCCAAAACTTGCGCCGATTGCTCTTCGTGTTCGCTCTCTGTCTTTGAGTATATGATGATATCATCAACATAGACATGGCACAATCTTCCAAGATAAGGCTGGAGGACGTCGTTCATTATCTTTTGGAACTAGCTGGGTGAATCTTTCCATTCAAAGAGCTGACGATTATACTCATAGATGTTGAATGGTGTTATAAACGCTGTAAACTCGTCGGTGTCCTCTCGAAGAGGCACCTTCTAGAACCCTTTACACATATCGATCCTAGAGAAGTACTTGCATCCTCATGTTTCATCAATTATACTGTGAATGCGAGGCGTTGGAAAAGAAATGAGTGATGTCTGTTGGTTCGTTGCTCGATAATCCGTGCAAGGGCGAAATGATCCATCTTCTTTTGAAGCGTTGGTGATAGGAAATGCCAATGGAGGAATAGAAGGCCGTATGGTGTCAGAATCCACCAGGATCTGCAGCTCTTGTTTTAGCCAGGTTTTCTTTTCTCGCGTCAGGTTGTAAGGTTTTTTCTTCACCACAGTTCTTTCTTGAAGCTCGTACGGCACTTAAAACTTGGAAGTACACTGTGAATATCCCCCTACACACACCAGTTCTGGATAGGTTCAAGACACCCTGCCAGTCGACTTGATGTTGCGAAGAGAGGTTGGGATACCTTCCGAGTCTGTCGAGCATCCAGGTGGTGGGCCAACAGAAACAGTGTCGTTCCAATAAAAATTCACTTTGAGTTGTTTCATGTCTGGGCGTTACAAAAGAAAATCGTGCTCCACTCCGTCAATTGCCAAGGCTTGGGTGTCTGCTGGGTGAGTCTAAAACGTGACTGTCACGTTCAACCACTCGGAGTGCTGTCTTCTGTGGCCATCGTAGCTCCAAACAAAGACTTGCCTTCCTTTAAACATATGGCTTGGTGCGACCTTTTCTTTCTTTATGATAGAAATGGAATCTTCCGTATCTTCAAGAGCCTGTATTTGTTGTCCATTGACTGAAATCTGGATATGTGGCAAACTTCGAGAACTTAGAAACACAGTCTCGATTTGGGTCTTAGGGCTAGACTGCTAACCCTTTTTTATTCGTTTTTTTTTTTTTTTTAGTTCTCACTGTCGATGGCGGATGTGAACTCGGACACTTGAGCATCCGCGAAGTGCGCTGCAGACGAGTGAAATGAGGTCCGCGGAGCCTGGTCGCGCACCAGTCACCTAGCTGTGTTTGGAGATTTGTGTTCGTTCTTTGTCCCTCTTGTTCCTCTTCTCCAGGGATTATTTTCGTCATTCCGGACTATTTGACTTCCCGTCGAAGATGTATGGCTTTATCCCCTCGTATCTGGACCTTTTATTTTCTACACTGAGCGTTGACATCAAGCTTTGCATAATTATACTTGTTTGTGCCATTTGCTGCTGTTGAGCATAAATCGCTTGGAGCACTGCTGCCATATCAGAAGCCGGAGGCGCTTGTGGGACCGTAGGCGCTGGAGTCGCCACTCGCGGCAACACAAGCTTGTGAAAGACAGCCATCTGTATGTTGATCTTGACTGACCCCTTTTCCATCAACTCCTCCGAAGAAATGGTACCTTTCTGGAAGATGAGCCTGATGAGCTCCGGAGATGTGACATGCTTTGGCAGCTCCACGTCTGGTTCATCTTGAACTTGATATCGGTTAAAAACCACTCGGTCTAGGTTCTCAGCAGCAACATATTGTACCCACATGTTCTGAATCCTGTCGGCTGCGCCAAATTATGTAACGTTCCAAAGAAATGTCAAAACGCATCTATCGCCATCTTAGTCCCCGACGTCCTTCCGTTTCTTTTTATTCGCCCCCCCCCCCCCCCCCCTAGAGATTTCGCTCTGCTTTGGCTTCCTTGTCTTTTGGTCTTCTTGGACCATAATTAAACTAAGAAGTAGATTTCCAAAAACAAAAACATATATAAACTCACAAAAAGACGGAATAAAATAACACTGTTTTAATGTTAATACAAATAATTAAAAACATAAAGTTCTATTTATATTTTATATAGTTGTATAGATTTTCTTGGCATGATGACTGCATCTGGTGCGAAGTGAATGGGCAATATTGGGTCCGTGCCCGCCCTCCTCACAAAGTATAGTAAAATACCAATTAATTTGTTACAAGATGGTGTTGCGTATGAAACTAAGGCACATAAACGAAGTATTTTAAAATATTATTGAGTGACTGTGTTATAAACTTTTCTTGTAATAATTAACTTATACTAGGGTGATAAGTAAACTACACCTATTTAATTGCATTATCGATTAATGTGTAATTGTAATTTATTAATTTTGGCGAAAGGTATTTGTAATTGTATTTGGACTACTGCACAGTGTCAGTGACTGCAAAATTTTAACTACGATCGCATTTATTTTTTATAATTTTGTCACCCTGGCGCCTCTTCTTTATACTCACTGGCGAAGATATACTAGACGCCTCCTTTATTGCCCTTCTGCAAACATGTGCTACATTAAAAGCGCTTATACTGCTCCAGAGCGCAAACCGTGGACGAATAGCTGAACAAACTGTCAGACACAGCACCTGCAGAGAGGCACAGAAGGTGCCCCACATAAAGCAAGAGAGCATTGCACTGTGGGGATGAAGAGAAAGAATCAGGATAATTTGATTGTGATAGGCACACTGCATATCTGACCACGACTCCTCTGAGCCATTTTCATAAAGGACGGGAGTTTAAGCATCTTGTAAATTTATTCAGTGCCTACACAACTAAACGACTACTTTGAACCAGATGATAGAGAGGACACTGATATTCTGGTAGAAGTGTACACTATTAAAATACCTCATTTTTATTGCACTCAGAACTAATCTCCGATATAATAGTATTAAAAAATAGGTGAAATAAAAAAGTGTGACAATGTAAACTGTACAATAAATCCCAAGAAAAAAAAAACCAATTCCTATCACTACGTAAAAATGTTATCATATCAACATCATTTAACTCGGCTTGCTCTTCAAGTAAATATATGCAATGTATCACTTTCTAAAATAAATTATAAATGTAATTGAATTACTTTTAAGGCGCTATTAATTGTTTTATTTTAATTGATTACCTCTAGGGCGAAGTACACATAATCGCAATTAAATTACGTTTCCAAAGTGATTTATCGAAGTACGCCTTCATTTGAGCGGCATATTTCAGGTTATTCTGACCAGCAACCTCTCTGTAAGGATGGCTTACCAATATTGCTAGCTTACGCCCGCGGCCATGAGGGATACTCTTTCCACATGCTGCTCAGACTTATCCTGGAAAGGTGGGTATCATGCAAAACAGCTATTCTGAATTGCCTTTTCAGATTGTTTGATGTTATTGCGATCTTGGTAACTCTCTTGATAAATTTTGAAGAAGGTTCCACTTGTTTCTTTCTTTATTATTTATTTATTATTTTTCCTCTCAGATAAAATACCGAATAAACAACAACACGATGTTGCCCCAACAGCTGAGGCAATCTTTTGTCGCTAAACTCTTACTCGTCGCATCTCCTTTCTAGTTTCATGTAACAAAATTTGCCTTGTTTATGTAAACATTTCAGACGAACGTGATATGTACACTACTAAACTTATGCTTTATTATGACTGTAAAGAACCAATCTCTTGTCATATACGCTATCTCACACATTATAAATATATGTTCATAAATTAATTGGTTGCCCTGATTTCACATCAGCTAGGCCTATATTCCTGGCGAGTTTTGCGAGTTTGTTTTATTTGTTTTGCGAATCAAATCGTCTAAACAAGTCCCATGACCCGCGTATAACATTCGCATAATTCAAATTCAATTCATTTATATTATACTTTTAGCATGAAACAACCTTGGTGGAGCTGATTTTCTCACTCGAACATTATTGAATTTAGGTTGTCCTTGAATAATTGCTATATAAGATATTTAGATTATTTTAAGACATTCACTGTTAATTAGCCCATAAAATTAACAAACGAATGAATGTTTCTAACTTTATATCACTTATATTTAAATTTTACCGCATACTAGAAAAAGCATCGCGAAAAATACAGTCACAAAGAAGACAAGAACGCGCCATGTATTCGCTATTTATTCCTGTGTGTGTCCTCTGGCCTTCTTTCTTTTTGATCAGAGAAATCGAAGATGACGATTTCTCTGATCCTCGCGCGCTCCTCGTGCGACCAAAGCATTGGTCAGATAGAAGCGCTCGTGGCCAAACCGTGCTAGGCGAGCTTCGATTTCTTTGTTGTGCTGTGTTAGTAAACACCGGGCTGTGGGGTTAACAAGTATATATATACGAAACGTATTTATTATACGTACAGAGGGGATTCGTCACATCCTCTTGAGTAGCATCATCTGGAGTGACGTGGAGGGGAATAGAAAGGGGAAAGGTAGTCATACTTGCCTCGCCACCCCTGAAAGACGGAGAAAGTCTAACAGGGAGTCGAGGATCTGCTTCCTGTGCTGGTTTGCGAGGTCCGGAAGGGTCCACTCTTCATATGTTGTGGGTCTTCTTGCCTGTGGGGGAAGCTTCTTCCACGCTGCTTCGCAATACCGCGAACTTTCTGCGCAGTCCCACACGAGGTGGAAACATGTCGCCGGGACTCCGCAGTATTCGCAATTGGGGTCAATGCCGGGGTCATTGAAGTCTGTAGGCTTATGTAATCTGGCCTGCCAGACGGGCGTGATGGCCGTGTTTGTTTGGATCCGCCTGGTACTCACCTTTTCCCACCGGTCGTATTCCGGAGGGATCGGATAAGAATTAGGGGGAAGAAGTGAGATGAGTCTGAGTTTTCGGGCAAGCCGCGCCTCTCTTTTTCTCTCGTCTGGGTCAGATGGTATGTCGGGCCTTTCGTCTTGTTCTTGAGGTGCGATGAGGGGATTCTGGCCTTGTGAGGGGCAGGGTACATGCGTTTAGCTGCGCCCTCGCGGCCTCGTTCGCCCTTTCGTTTCTCGGGATGCCTTCGTAGCCCAGAATCCAGTCTATAACGACGATGACGTCGGGTTTTGATTTCTTAACAACGCTTCGTATTTGGAGCGCGATGTCATTCTGCGAGCGTCATCAGTTGTATTCTCAGAGTGCTTCTTGCGAGTATGTGTAAATAATTACGCTTGGTTGTTTGGGGATTGTCTGTGACTTTCATGATGGCTTGTACTATTTACAACAGCTCTGCCGTCTTCGAGCTGCTCGTTTTGTATGTTTCCCGCATGTTTTGCTGCGGGTGGGTGAGCTCCATGCGATGCGTGTGCGTTCAACCTCATTGCTGGCCGCGTCGGTATAGAAGACATCGCTATCACCTCCGAGTTGTTCAATCTTCTTTAGGTATTCTTCACTCTGGTGCTGCCGCCTCCTCTTGTGGTCTTTTCTTTGGTTTTGGGAGATCGGCCTACTTGTAGAGACATCCTCTGTTTCCCATGGGGGTGGCGGATGTTCTGCAATAGTTTTTGTGGTCTTTTCTAATTTCTGCAACATGACTCTACTGTGGTCCGAGCTAGACAGCCTTTTGAGCTGCCCCAGCATCATTTCGTCGGCAATTTTTCGGACCTTGTTGACTTGGGCAGCGTTCTCCAGCTTGGCGATAGGAGTGAATTTTGGAAGACCCTTGATGGCTCTCATGGCGCTACTGTTGAGTAAATTAAGGGTCTCACCTTGCACTCTATTAAGTCGGAGGTAGCTGAGGCCGTACACCGTCTTCGAAACGAGGAGTGCTCAATGTAATCTTTTTAGTAGATCTGCCTGTCCTTTCCAGGCCTTCGTTGTAAGCTTTCGGAGTAGGTTCAATCCATCCGACCATTGGGTTTTTGTTTGCTTCATCCAGGTCGCAGCTTTTTCATATTGCTCAAAGGTGACGCCTAAGATCTTGGGGTTGAGTGCCTTTAGGATGGGGGTTCCATCGATTTTAAGTTGAATTGGTTTGTCGAAACGTGTGATTTTGTGTTTTGTGACAATCATAAAGGAGGTCTTTTTAGGTGAGAGATGGAGGCATGATGTCTCGCAAAGGCCTGTGTTACATCCAGGGATTTTTGCATTGCTGCTTTTTGGTTCCCGGCAATCCATTTGACGGTCCAGAGTGTAACGTCGTCCGCGTATATAGTAAAGTTGATTTTAGGAATGACATCCAACGCGCTCGCTAGGTCAGCCATAGCCATGTTGAACAGTGCTGGGGATATCACAGCACCCTGGAGGTGCCAGTGTTGTTGTGCTGCCAAAGGCTTCTGTTTTCACCAATAACTATTTTATACGTTCGCTCCTTGAAAAACGACTTCATAAAGTTTAACATGTTGCCTCGGATTCCACGTCTTTTTGCTGCTTCAATTACCGTCTTGTGATGAATACTGTCGAATGCCTTCTTGATGTCTAAGGCAGTGGTTCTCAAATAGGGGTCCGTGGACCATTTGGGGTCCGCGAAGGCATTCTAGGGGTCCGCGAAGACTTGTTCCATCAGTCAAGCCCGGCAATAAAAGTTGTCGTTTCTCAGGTCGAGAAGAAATGTTTCAGTTTTCGGGCATGCTTTCTTGCGTGTATATCAATAAGAAAAGTCTACTTCACACTAGCCCTTAATTCTATCATTTTATTAAATCATTATTATATTCAACCTATACCTTTTCCCTCCCCTCACCTCGAACAGCGTCCTCCATCATCTCCGCCAATCCACAAGGGGCCCGCGAAACATCGATGGTTGAGAACTACTGCTCTAAGGCAACTATAGTTCTAGGTTGTCTCTTGAACTGAGGGTTCTCGTACACGTCACGATGTACCATTGCTAGGCTGTCCTGGGTGGACGTCCCAGGTCTAAAGCAGAAATGAACATAAAAGTCAAAGGAACCGAAAAGGACAGGACGATGTTGAGACGTCGTCCTGTCCCTTTTTGTTCCTTTGACTTTTATGTTAATTTCTGCCCCAATCTCAGGTTTATTCAACATGGTTAACATTCACCAGCTCGCCTGCATCCTTACTATTTTATCTCAGGTCTAAAGCCCGTTTGCATCGGATGCACGTCACCTCGAGTCTTGAGGATCCACGAAGGTCTCGTTTGAACCATCTTTTCGAGAACTTTGCACAAGTTCGATGTTAGCAAAATAGGCCTGAGATTCTGTAGAGTGTTGAGTGGCTTTCCGGGCTTGAGGATCGGGACGACCGTTGATCTCTTCCACTCAGCCGGGATTTCTTCGCCGTCCCAGATGTCGTTGTAACTTTCGAGGAGTTCTTCAAGTTGTTCTTTAGGCAAGGTTCTCAGTGCCACGATCGTGACTTGATCGGGTCCTGGGGCCGAGTTGATCTTGGCTGCCGTCAGTGCCTCAAGTAGCTCGCCCATGGTGAATGGTGCGTTCTCGAGTGCGGGCTCTTCAACTTGAAGTGGCTGATAGATTTCGTCCTCTGGGGGTGGATACTGCTGGGGAAAGAAGAGAGTTTCTGCTTGATCGGCAAGTTGTTCTGTTTTTATTTTGTGTTTCTAGGCAATGTTGCTGCCTGAATTTTGTGCCTTGGACTTCTTGCCCGCGAGGCCGCAGTATGCCCGCCTGTCCCTGGGTAGTCCCGTCTTCTCGTTAAACGAGTTGCATAATGTTCTCCACTTTGTTCGACAGACCTCGTTGGCGTAGCGTTTTGCCTTAGCCGTCACCTTGTTTATAGAAATCTAGTTGCTTAAAGTCTTGCGTTTCCTTTACTTCTTGCGAGCTTGGAGTCTCGCGTGCCATAGGTTCACGAGATGTAAGCCTGGAGTCGGCATGTCCTCTTTCACTTCGTAGACCGCTTTACCTTTCTTTACTGCCTGGACAATCCTTTCTGCCAGGGGAGTGTTTCGAAGTCTTGAACGTGGGTGCGAAAAGAGTCCCACTTGATAAAACAGACGTTTTTCTTTGGCACGGAACTATTTATTTATTTATTTATTTATTTATTTCAATACCCTCAGCGCCAACGGTATTACAGAGGGGAGTGGGTTGTATTCAACAAGAAAAAATATACCATTAATAACTTAAAGGCATTTCACATATTAGTTATGTACAAAAAAAATTAGAAACCGCAGTTTGAAACAAATCATCCGCCTGGATTATGGAGATGGAGGTAGGAAGGCGGTTCCAATCCAAAGAAATTTGGGGAATGAAAGATTGTTGAAATGTGTTCGTGCTACATAGGTGGTACACCTACTTTATGAGGATGATCCAGGCGGGATGAAACATAGAAAGGTGGTGTGAGGAGACGTTGACTGAGGTAGGAGTTAGTGTGAAATACTTTATGAAAGAGACAGACACAAACGGGTTACCTTTCGGCGCGAGGCAAGACTAGGCAAA